ATCATGATGACTGGCTGGTTCCAAAACAACATCGCGTTCCTCTGTATTACTCGTCCCCTGAAAATGGCCAAGTTGCTCTCTCCCGCTGCAAGTCTCCTCTTCAGCTCCGTTACCAATTCGCGTCGTTTCAGACGTTCCGCTAGAGAATAGTCCGGCTGAAAAAAAACTTCCTTGTGAAAGTTTCGGAGGCTGCTTTTCCTGGACAGAATTAAGCTAGCTTCATCTTTACTGTTCAAAACAATTTTCAGAGGTCGTGGCCGCACAGTTTCTGATTGTTCGCTCACCTTCTTTCCGATCCTGAAGGCTGCGCGAATGGTTATCTTTTCATTTGACTTAAGCATTTTGTTCAGTAGGCGTTGAAGCATATTAAGGTCAGCGGAGATCCTCTCCTTCGGGGTAGGAGCATCCGACTCCGATAGACCCTGGACGACTACGCAGTGCTGACGATCAAGGGGTTCATTTTTTCTGTTTCCGGTGGCCTTGTCAGCTGAAGGTCTCATAAGATCCACCGGAGTCGTCTGGGGTTCTAAACTCCCATTGTGGCGCTTACCCTTCCCATCTTGCCATGAGCTTGTTTCCTCACTTCCAACTGAGGGTCCTATTGAACACGCGGAATGGCTGAGAGAAGTTGATGGCTCGCTTGGGTTGTCTCCCATAGAAACAAGAGACTCCGTTGCTATTTTCCCATCGTCCTGGGTATCGGCGCTATTGCACATAGGTTTTCCACATGCTTTGTTCTTTGGCTGTTTTAAAGTGTTGCTCTTTCCCTTTTTCTTGCTAACTTTAGCGCTATTCACCGCGTTTTGCACACTATCGTTCGCTTGCACGAGTTCCCTCAAAGCGGTCAACTCTTTTTCGAGTTTTTGGACTTTCAGCAGAATAAATGAGCATCCAGTGCATGGCTCGTCCTCGTAACTAACAGATTTTGCTGTGATAACGCTTTAAGCGCGCTTTGCGGGCCCCTGGTTGCAACTATAAAGAGAGCGAGCGCTAATCCTAGGTGGCAAGGCCTTCTCAATTGACTTTCCTTCATACATAGTGTCGTTTGTACTACGAATAATGTTTACTCCCTTATTTATTTCAGTCGGCTGGGCGTGCGCCGATAGTCTAGCGGTCATGTCGCTGGTCACCGTACGACTGGACGTGGGTTCGAATCCCACTTGCGGCGAGTTTTTCGCACATTGTCCTGAGGGTGTTTTGTCGACTCCCATTATTAATTCAAACGATACGCAAGGGATTCTAGGTATGGGCGAAGTATTTAAAGGTGTAGAAGAAGCTTTTTAACCAAGCCAACAATATGAAGTAAATATCAAACGACTCAGCCGTTTCTGGATCTGGAGAACCCCGCGGTGCTGTTGGCAGAGAATTGATACGAAGGCGTATGGTCGTCCCAAAGAAAGTTCTGTCGGAGTTCTGAGTGGATCGTTCGAGGAATTGCTGATTACGCTTCAATCTCTTAATCCAAATGGGCCTGCAGAGCGTCCAGTAGGCAGAAATCCCGGAAAAAGCAAATCCCTCGGAGGTCGAAATTTCAAACCGAATTTGAAAGGCGCGCCTAAAGTCTTCAACAAACCGCACTCCAATCCGAGCGCCGAAAGTGGCTCATGGAGACCCATAAATATATTTCAATGTCACTGGTTAACCACATAAACGCTAAACGTGAACAGGCGAACGCTGAACTGTTTTAAAAAGTGATTGCGATCACAACTGTTGACTTTTGCAGTCAACCAGTTTTATACCTCTGTGCGACATGACCTCTTGTCCGATCACTCTTGTGGAACATGCCATACGCCTTTTATGCAAATACCCATATCTCTTTGCAATAAGCATCCGTTTTTAGTCGTGCTTTTTTTAAGGTGACACACAGACGACTCTTCGCGAAACTGGAGGCTCCAGGAGTTCGCGGTCCCATTATTGACCCATTAAGTTGTACTTATTCAGTCGGAAGCGAAAGGTCTTAGTGTAATCCTCACTGTCAGCTGAGAATGCAACTGTAATCTGCGTCCATCAAGGCACTCGCAGACCCTCTTTTGCTTTATGTTTATGATAATTCATCGGCAGGTAGACAAGCCCAGCATTTTATTTATGCTTCTGTTCTTAAGTCGTATATTTTTTTCACAAATCTACTACTCAACATTGCTTGGTACAAATTCGTTTTAATCTGCCTGAGCTTTCCGCAAAGTGTTTGACATGGTTAATGGGATTTTCTCTTTCGACATCATGCCACATGCGTTTTGAACCTAAAGAGCTGCCCCAAGCAGTCATTTTTCACGGCCACCGTATGACATAATCTTTCACAATTAAGGACTTGTAGTTTCAACCACAGCATCGATCCAGATGCCTCGTAACTCTCTGACAGAACTACAGCCAAAGCTGCCTCGATTTGAGACCATCTTCTTATGATTTCTGCCCTCCGGAAATAAAATTTTGGTTCATGTTTACGATTTCGAGTATTTGTCCCACGCATTGGTTTAATGAATAAGCCTAGACGCTCTGCGATCGAAAATAACCGAAGACTTTCATACTAAAAAAATCCTATATCTGACACTAACATTTTTCTTCGCAAATGGATACAAACTAACTAAAACGATGTTTCTTAGCAGCGACTTACGTGGCATCCTCGCTCATCTCTCGAACAATCGCACTTATCAGCCATATTCTTATCATACAAGACCCTATAAAGTCTTCATTTATACGGGGGACATTGGACTCACTGTTCCCTTGGTCACTTTATATATTTATTTCAAGCAGACTTTAAATTGGCAGCTTGCATAATTATTACCATATTTATGGCGTCGGAAATCGAAGACCTAAATTATTTAAATTATGCAACTAAGCCTAATTTTGCGGCGCTTAGTGCGCGCGATTTAACCACTGTTGCTTAAGCTTATTGCCTACTTATTTGGGCTTAATCAAACATGTCAGCGAGTTAAAAGCCAGTTCTAAATAATTATATCGCCCCCAATCAGTGTCAAGGCCAGGTTGATCACCGTACCTGCTACACAAAAACATGAATGTCACGATGATAGTAATAACTGTGCTGATCATTCCACAGGGCCATAAGTTGTAAGGAAATGTTTGTAAATGTTTGACTATAGCCGAGCTCATGATGACAATAGTATTTATCAAACCCCAATCGAGAGCCCACTGGAAAAAGGCAGATAATTCGATATGAAGGTGCGGGTCTTAAAAGAATTCTGTGCTTTGCATCATTTTGTGTAAGGTCCTACTACGGGACATTCGTGCGTGGGTTCGCTGGCATCGCCGCATCCCTTCACCGGCTGACCGAAAAGTCTAGACCTTTCCTGTGGACTAAAGAGTGTGAGGCAGCTTTCGATAAGCTTAGACGTGCTTTGACATCCCCTCCTATCCTCAGCCTCCCGGATGTTTCTCCATCTGCCGGTGAGTTTATTCTCGACACTGATGCCAGCGATAGAGCCATCGGAGCTGTCCTGTCTCAGCTGACTGCCGACGGTGATGAAAAAGCAATAGCGTTCGCAAGCAGGCAATTGAACAAACGGGAGCGACGGTATAGGACCGCTCGTCGAGAGATGTTAGCGTTGGTATATTTCCTCAAGTATTTTTGCCCTTACCTCTTGGGTCGCCACTTTGTGGTCCGCACAGACCATAATGCTCTACAGTGGCTGCAAAACTTTCGCGATCCAGAAGGACAAGTAGCGCGCTGGCAAGAACAACTGCAAGAATATGACTTTACTTGTGTATACCGTCCAGGCGCGAGACACCAGAACGCCGACGCTCTTTCACGACGCCCGACTTCATCCGATGAGGCTGTCAATGCCATTGTGACGGTCGACGATGCGCAACAGTGGGCCATTCTACAAGCTGAGGACCCGGATTTCGGCGACATATATGACCGGCAGCTTCATGGGTCTCGAAAGCCGACCGGCAGAGAAATGAGAGAAAAGTCGGCCGCAGCGCGAGCACTGTGAGCCAATTGGGTCAGATTGCGCATAAGTGACGGAGTCTTGTTCCTACATAGTGACGCTAATGAGCCACTGCGACTCGTTATGCCGAAGGCGAAGGTACGAGATACCATAGGTAACATTCATAATCAACTCGGACACGCGGGTCAACGCAAAACAGAAGCAGCCGTTCGCAGACGCTTTTGGTGGCCGACTATCCATCAGGACGTGGTGTCCTACTGCACTGCGTGCCAAGTTTGCGCTCAGATAAAGTCGCCGATTCCCGCACCACGAGCCCTGCTGCATCCTATTGCTGTAGACGGACCTAATCACCGGATTGGTGTAGATATAATTGGACCGCTACCGACCACTCGTCGTGGTGACCGTTTCATACTGGTGATGGTTGACTATTTCACCAAGTGGTGTGAGGCCGTACCATTACAAACTCAAGACGCAAAGTCAGTTGCAGCAGCCATCCTCAACGATTGGATTAGCCGTTACGGGGCGCCCACGATAATCCATTCCGATCGAGGCACGGCGTTTGAGAACCATCTCCTGGCCGAACTATGCTCGTTACTGCAGATCAAGAAAACACGGACTACTCCTTATCATCCCGAAGGAAATGGACTGGTCGAACGCACGAACAGGACGATCAAGCGAATTTTATCTGCATTCGTTGATCGCGAGTCATCTGATGCCTGGGACGAACACTTACCGCAGTGCCTGTTAGCGTATCGGACCGCCGTCCACGACTCAACCGGATTTTCTCCCGCGTTGCTCCAGCTCGGCCATGAGCTTCAATTACTGGCAGATATTCACTCACCACTTATACCCGCCGAGTCCCTTAGTATGGGGGAATACACGCGAGCTCTCAAAGAAAGACTTGTCACGGTATACAGGCTGGCTGCTGGCAACATCCAAATGGCCCAACAGCATCAGAAAACTTGCTACGACCGACACCGAGCTGGACCAGAATATCATGTTGGCGATTCCGTGTTACTGTTCAGACCGCGACCGCCCCTCGGGGCTGCTGCAAAGTTTCACCGGCCGTGGCAAGGCCCGTATATTATCGTTTACCAACCCTTCCCCGACACGTTTGTTCTTCGCGACCCACAGAGAACTTTCGCTGATGTTCTCACCGTCCACTACAATCAGATCAAGCCAGCGCCCGATTGCGGACCACCTCCCGATTCCCCTCTCTCACTTGTCCCCTCCGGTTCCCTTCCCCCGGTAGCGCAGACGGTTGAAATATCTGCATCGAACTCTCAGGGATAGTAGGCTAGAAACACTGCGGACAGTGTCCTCTTGGAGGGGAGGCAGTGTAACGCAATAAGATTTTACCTAATGTTTGTAAATAGTTCCATTCTTTCCTTGCAGGCAGACAGCCAGTGAATGTCCTGGCTGGCCCGACCGAAACCGACACCGACGAGTCTGAGGCTTTGAACGGGCTGGAAAAAAAAGCGCGCTTGACTTAAAGTTGTGACCAAGACGAGAATAAACGCGTTTCGAGCTACTCACTTCTTTTCCCGTCGTCGCTCATTTGAATGTCGTTGCCTGGTGCTCGCTGTTTCCATTAGTTCCGCCTGCCTTGTAGTTCCCTCTTAGGGGCTAGTCTGACCTCCGACATCAACCCACGTTACATTGCTTAAGCTTATCACCTACTTATTTGGGCTTAATCAAACATGTCAGCGAGTTAAAAGCCATTTCTAAATAATTATATCGCCCCCAATCAGTGCCAAGGCCAGGTTGATCACCGTACCTGCTACACAAAAACATGAATGTCACGATGATAGTTATAACTGTGTTGATCATTCTACAGAGCCATAAGTTGTAAGGAAATGTTTGTAAATGTTTGACTATAGCCGAGATCATGATGACAATAGTATTTATCAAACCCCAATCGAGAGCCCACTGGAAAAAGGCAGATAATTCGATATGAAGGTGTGGGTCTTAAAAGAATTCTGTGCTTTGCATCATTTTGTGTAAGGTTGAACGAGTGGACGCATGGAGCCTTCAAAAACGAATGCTGAATAGGACAAAATAAATAAGAAATAGCAAAAAACAACTTTTCAACCAAATTCGCAGACACAGACCATTTAAATGAACTTAACTCCGATCGTTCAACACGTACGTGCGTGAGGTGAGAACCAACTTATCTCCTTTTCCGTTCGCCAACTATTTGCACTCACATTCATGAAAATAAAATGAAGTGTTTAAATACCAGTATAGCTAACGTAGGAGGGGAAGATAGCCAGGCAACAGCGGTCCGGTAGAGGGTAGGGTTCTGTTGTAGGGTTACTGCCGAAAAATTATTACTTCAAAAGGATGAATACATGAAACAGATAATCGTTAGTTCATAGCCAAATGAATGATTTTGGCTGATGCCGAGCAACAATCCGTAGTCTGTATTGCGATAGAGGGTCAGAGATAAGGTTGCTTCGTGGTTACTCTGAGTTGTGTAGGCCGGATGAAAGGCACAGTCTTATAAAATATATGAAAGTACACATATTTGTAGGTTTGTACGCCTTTCGTCCCTAAAACAGGCCACGCGGTAGATGCCCTAGATCAAGACAGTGGCTAGACGGGAGTCCGACAGGCGTTATCGGAAGTACGCATAAATAACAAATGCTAACATTCTGAGTGCTGTGGCGAGCCCAGTTGCAGGTTCAGGCCGCACAAAGTGGGTTCCCTGTGCACCCAATTTTGTTGTTTGAAATTATGGCCAAGCGTTTGTTGTAGGCCAAGAAGGGTGGTGGTACACTTAGGTGCGGATTTTCGCCATGCCAGCCATCGATGTACTCTCACTGTGTCTAACGGCCACATCCCAGTAACTGCCTTATTCGGTGGGCTAAACTAGGTGAGCCTATCCTGCGCTGTGTGACCGAACGCCCGCCAATCCAGCTCTCCCTCCAACCTCCCCTCTCCCCTTCCCTTCCTTTTCCCCTTTGACGGCTCTACGGATAGCGCGACATGCCACCCTGTAAGCAAACAAGTCTAACTCGCGCCACTTTCCACCAAACAAAGCCGTGAGACATGGTATAGTGCAGAAGCTGTCTTAAATGTCAAAGCAGCCCTATTTATGGAAAGCAGGGCTTACTCCATGTAGGAGAAGGGGCTAGAAAAGATGCCCAAAACAGATGCTGGGGAAACACGCCGTCTACTAGTATCCCGTAGCCCATAGTATAAACCCATTAGTATAAACTGTGCTGCCTGGTCCACCAATATTGACAACTTAAAGAAATCGTTTCATCATACATAGCCTCATCCAGATATCCTCGAAGTTTCGGCAGTTATCATCCATATAAATATTTGGACTTAAGTCTTGTATTGCTTTTTCGACATAAAACCTCGGGCAACCCTTCGTCGAAATCTGAAGGAAACTGAACTTCATCTGAAACCCATTGTTCATGTGAAAAAATTGATCTAGGGGCGCTTGATGATTTTAACAATTTTATGTCTCGTTACGGATCAATTTTTTCTGTTCTTGGTGCCCTTCTTGACGGAAAGTTGCCAACGCTTACGTCTCAGCAGTGTGAGAAGCTCATGCCTCTCATTAACCTGGTTGCTACTGAGACCGAAGACAGGCACAAACGAATTTTCAATTTTATATTAAAAACGTTCCTAAGAGTAGGCAGTCAATAGATGTCGCTTTTCATTTCCTTTATTCATGCGGCCTCAACTTTAGGGTCGCGGAAGCTAAGAGGCTTTCAGCTAGGAGCAAGAATCCACCAATTCTTGTCAAACTCTTTTCGTCCATAGAAGTGGATTTTATTTTCTCCCATTAGGAGCGTTCGACTCAATATCTCAGGGGAAATTAAGTTTTCATTAATCGAGATCAAACTCCACTGCAACGAAGAGTTCCTCCCCTATTAACAAACGCAAAGCCACGCCCGAATTCTACTCATATGCCTTTTACCTCTAAAGCATTTTCTCCATCTGGTGTCGACCAAATCTCCCCACTATCTACTGCGGCCTCAGTTCCATCTAGCTCTTCGACTGATCACATTATCACATAGACAGTTAAAACTAGTCTCTTTTAAACTGCTGTAGCGGCCGAGGACGTCAAGGGTAGCACACACCAGAGTAAGAGAACGCTGAGAGTAGATCCTGGAGGAGAGTAATCTGAACAGAGTCGTTAGCATCTCTGAATACTCGTTCACACGCGACAGAAGAGGGCCCGTCAGGAACGGAATACAGTAAAGTATAACAAGACGGTCATGAAAGATACGTATAATAATAATAGTTACTCGTACAGTTGGAATGAGTTACAGCCATCAGATAACTTGTCTGGGTGAAGAGGCGATACCGACATGCCAGCTTAATAACCGGTGGCGAGCGCAGCGCTGTGGGCAACTGCAGGGAAGGTCCGAGGGAGGTGCCGATGTTGCGAGACGGAGAGCGAGGCGAGCGTTACGGTACGGTACGGTAAAGGAGGAAAGGATCGGCGGATGAGAGAGGAAGGGACACCGGCCATCTTCGCTGACACGCGGTTACGCCATCTCCACCCTAGGTCCTCGCACCAAAAGTGTCACGGCATTCAAACAATACTGTTCAAGTCCAGGGGCGTTACACTGCCCCACGAAACAAGGATTGTTCAAATGCGGCTCCCAAATTTACTAGGGAGCTTGATCTTAACAGTAAAAATGAGCCAGTCCTTGAAGCACAACCAACTCCCAGCACTCAGAATAGTGATTTAGTTAATAAACTAACATCGAATCCACCCCGTTCCCACGCCTGGCCACTCAGGTCTGACCTCGTGGTTAGGTCCAATAAGCTAGATGATAGTTCAGGGAGATCTCTACCTGTTCCTATACTGAATTCTCAACTTAACGCCACAGTTGTGAAGCCCTCTTACACATCAGACTGCAAAATGCAAGTATATAGCATTGCTAATAACTTTTCCAATCCAATTGCTAGTCTGACGCCCAAAATAATAAAGCCCTTCCCTGATGTTAACTGTTTCCCGAAATCATTACGTCCGCTACCTAAAATAAACTACCCCTCATACTATGCTAACAATTCCCAAAATCCTATTTTCATGCCGCCTAATTTTCCAACCCAACAAAATAGCTTTCCTCTTCCTGGGTCCTCCTCAAATGTTTTTCCACATAATGCTGCATCTCTAGTTAGTAGTTACCCCATAAATTTTAGACCGCAGCAACTTTGTCCTCCACCAATTGCTTCGTTCCAATAGCTTAATTTTCCACCTCCAGCTCTCCCTTTTTTATAATTAGCAATGAGCGGAACCTACATATTAGGAATACGCTCAGTATTGTCTCTCTCAACGCAAGATCTGTCGTGCAATAGATGGCACACCTAAGAGGTGTAGCTATTGAGTTTGACACGGATGTATTGTGCATTACAGAATCTTGGGCTCACTCACTAATTTCAGACTCGACACTTAATATAGATAGCCTATGCTAAATGATAACAAAGTCTTCCTCACCGATGACACTGACAAAGCGGAGTTGTTTAGTGCTTTCTTTGCAAAACACCTTGCTACCGAGTCCGATCCGGCCCCTTTCTTTCGATCACTTTCAGATAGGATACTTAGTACAATTGATGTCTCCTCAGATCTCATTAAGAAACACATAAGCCGTTTGAAATACTCACACTGTTCAGGAACGGACGGGATTCCGAATTCGATTATTAAACAAGCGTCCCACTTTCCCATATTGCTCAGTCATTTACTCTCGGTTTATATTTCAAAAGGATTCTCTCCTGAAAGATGGAAAACGTCAATTATCATTCCCGTTTTCAAGTCAGGATCTCGGTCCGATGTTAATAACTATCGGGGCGTGCACAAAACGCCGTCTCTAGCAAAGCTTCTTGAAAGAATTATTTTCAATGAAATTCTTGACTTCTGTCTAGCTAGTCGGCTTCTGAGCTCTAGTCAGCATGGATTTTTACCTGAACGATCCTGCGAAACATGTCACTTGGCTTTTCGTAATCTAATCACTTCTCTTCGTAATGAACGGCAGTCAGTGGTAGTTATTTACTTTGACAAGGTGCCCCATAGACGTCTTTTAGTACAATTGGAAGCTCTCGGCATCCGGCCGCCTCTACTCGACTTCATCAGGTCCTATCTGTCCAACCGATATCAGAAAGTCATGGTCGGTAATAGTTACTCGACACCCCACTCGATCACGAGTGGCGTACTTCAAGGCACGGTTCTGGGTCCGTTAATCTTCCTTCTTTACATCAATGATATTTCCACTGAACTCGGAAATTCGCAAACTTTTACTTATGCCGATGACCTCAAGTGTGTTTACTCA